AGAAAGGTCCTTATTTCCTTTCTGAAATCAAATAAAGTTCCTGGATCTCTATAGTCCTGTGTAAGGAATACATAGAATGGTGGGAGCCTATCCTGGCTGGCTTATTTACCACCATAAACAACATGGGCCAAATGCCCTCTAGATGGAAAATAAGTATTCTTTTTCCAGTTTATAAGAAAGGCAGTAGGAATTATCTGCAAAACTATCTGCCAGTTAGCTTGTTATACAACTCCTCAAAGCTATATGAGCAGTATCGCCTTCAAAAATTTATCCAACTGGTTGCAAAATAGCAACCTTTTTCATGAAGTACAAGCGGGATTTAGAGAAGGGCACAGTCCCATTGATCAGTGTTTTACTCTGAACCATATTATAAGGAAATATACTAAGAACATTAAGAATAATCTTTATGTAGCCTTTATTGATCTTTCTGCTGCATTCGACTTTGTTAATCAATACAGAGTGTGGAAGAAATTTCAAATTGCCAACATCAACTGCAGATTTCTGCTATTGATCCAAGAACTATGCAGAAATGAGGGTCAGAGTAGTTTTAAAATGATGGTATGACTGATGCTTTTTAAAACGTCATGAGGAATGCAAGGTTGCATTCTTACCCCTCCTTACTTTCGTATTAATGATTTGTTGCCATATTTAGCCAATGCAAACTCTCCCCCTCCAATAATTAGGAACAGAAATATCTCAATGTTGATGTATGCAGATGATTTGGCGCTCCTCTCTCCTTCCAGATTGGGCTCAAAAATCTCTTGGAGGTGTTCGGCACATACTGTTAACAGGAAAGTCTGTTTATAAAATACTCTTAAGACAATGGTTATGATTTTTGGCAAACACAGTCCTAGGTATAATTGGTGCTTATAGAACAAATGTAGTCTATTAGACACCTGGGTATACTCATTAGTGAAACCCTCTCTTGGAAGTTTCATATAGAGGCAGTGAAAGTCAAAGTACAGAAAACCATAGGGGCATTGATAAAGTTCTGTTAAACGACGCTATGCTCTTTACCATCAGGAATTTCAGCAGCACTTTGTACAGAATCCAGGTGGCCAACACTTAAGGCAAGACCGGACTGCGCTCAGTTAAAGTATATTTTAAAAATTGCTACTATGCCTATTGTAGAGGGACGTGGGTGGCGCTGTGGGTAAAAACCTCAGCGCCTAGGACTTGTCGATCACATGGTCAGCGGTTCAAATCCCCGCGGCGGGGTGCGCTCCCGCTGCTCGGTCCCAGCGCCTGCCAACCTAGCAGTTCGAAAGCACCCTCGGGTGCAAGTAGATAAATAGGGACCGCTTACCAGCGGGAAGGTAAACGGCGTTTCCGTGTGCTGCGCTGGCTCGCCAGATACAGCTTGTCACGCTGGCCACGTGACCCGGAAGTGTCTTCGGACAGCACTGGCCCGTACGGGCAGGGGTACCTTTACCTTTACCTTTACCTTATGCCTATTGAGTGGTTTCCTGCTCTGTGCTATATGGAGTTGCATGCTCGTCAAGATGTTTAGAGTATTATTATTTTCCAGAACTGAGCTTTGCTTTGACCTTGATTAAGTGTCTATTAAAGGATTGGCTCTTCTAGAAAGAATCCAAAAGGGACCTACAGCTAATTAGAAACACCAAATTTCCGCATTGGTGTCCACTCTTGAGAGCAGAGCATTTTAGAGCTAGTTATCTGACCAAGCTCTCACCAGCTGCAGTAAGAAATGCCTTTATTGAGCTGTATTTCTCAGTGATGCCCACTGCAGTCTTAGATGGATGCTACAACAAGATCCCATAGACAGACAGACTTCATATTTGTGGTCAGCCACAGGTGAAAGACATCACTCATTATCTGTTAACCTTTGTTCATACATGCATGGTTTCTTTTGAGTGACAATAATAGGTTTGTAACACATAGAGTGGGCCTCATAGAGTAACACATAGAGTGTTGCTTAATACAAATTTGTCATGGCCTTTGGCTTGAACAACAAACTTATCAGCTGCATTGTTTCATGCCTGTAACTGCATTTAACCAATCTCCAAATCCTAGTTTGGAGGATCAGGAGTATGTAGCAGTAGGTTTGGGCTTGCGTGTTCCCTTCTTCCTTTCCTCTGCACAGAAGGGGAAATGATTAGAACAGTCCACTTCTAATGAGTGGTGAAACATAGTTTGCCATTATGTCCAAATGCTGCATACTATAATTTTCTAATCGCCAGATGCAGCTTGTCACGCTGGCCACGTGACCCGGAAGTGTCTGCGGACAGCACTGGCTCCCGGCCTATAGAGTGAGATGAGCGCACAACCCTAGAGTCTGGCAAGACTGGCCCGAACGGGCAGGGGTACCTTTACCTTTACCTATAATTTTCTAAACGCCCATATTAATATGGGATTGAACTGTTAGTTCTAATCATTGGACTGCATTGTGGACTTTATTTTATTTTATTTTGTAATCTGCATATAGCTATCTAATAGTTTAGGGCTCAGAGTCTCACCTTCAGGTTTAAATTGGCTCCAGGCATGCAATCTGTCATGTCTTATTATCAAGTGGTTATTTATTTTAATGGGGCCTTGACTGACAGCAGGGAGCAAACCACTGAACTGTGAACATGCTTGCAATGAAAGGTTTCTCTAATGACACTGTGCTTTGGCATTGTGTTCCTCCACTTCTTAGGATAGTGTGGGTTGGTTTGACTGCTCATTTAAATCCTAAATTTATTTGCAGTTGTATTAGTTTTGTGCTATACAATGCTCTTAATTTTAAGGCTTCTTGAGAATTTATGGACAATCTGTTTTCTGGATTTTTTTTCCTTTTAAATCAGCATTGGTAATACTTGATATTAATTTTTCCTCCCTCCCTCCCCCTTTCCCCCCATTACTTTGATTTTTGAAAGCTTTGCCCTTTAAAGTGGGGGATTTAACACTGCTTATTTTAACTGCACAGAGTTGTAATCCGTAACACTGTAATGAGCTAGGACACTGAAATAAAAACATTTGAAGTTAAAATTAAGTAAGAAGTAAATGTGAAAATGTCACAATGATAGCTAGACATTTCCCCTGAAAATAAAGACCTTTCCCTGATAATGTGCTGCTTAAAGGGCCTAAGAGTTGTCCTTTGAATTTTTCAAGTTTCTGTTGCAGAATAATTCAGCATATAACACACACTGGGTTGGAAGGTGAGAGGTGCATGTTGGATTGGGTGCAAGTGTCCCTCTGCCCTGCCCACCTTTGCCTGCTAAGCATACTTCCTGCCAGCTGCCACCAGGGCAGAGCTTCTCCTGCATGCCAAATGTGTGGGAAGGCAAAAGTACTACTGCAGTATTCTCACTGGCAGTAGCCAGTGGAAGGCCACAAAACGGAGCATTCCAGAGGCAGAGAAAATGAGTGGGTTACCAGTTTGGGATCTGCTGGAACTCAAACCAGTCCCATGGCTATTGTTTCTTTAAGGGAGAACACAGGGTCTCATGTCCCATTAAGGTTCCTGACTAACCCAAGGAGAGCAACACACAGAGAGATGAAGCAAGGAAGGGAGCTCTAGCTGATGTTGTAGCAAACCATCCAAGGGAAGTTCTCATGAGACTGTTATCCTGGATAGGCTGAATTAGCTTCAAATAGTCTGAATGAAGAAAGGGCCCTTAGAAACGGAGCACATTGCACAATATAGTCCCTTGGGGGCAAACACTTTAAAGGATTGTGTTACTTAAGGAGAGGAGCTACCTGAGGCAATAGATGGACTTGATTCCAGCCACTGCCAGGCATGGAATTCCCATGTTTCCCACCACAAAATGGACAGGATATTCATAGGGAGCAGGGCTGAGGACCATGAGCCAATCAAATGAGGTACCCTAAGTCCCAAGCATATTTGTAACTTCAGTACGTAGTGCAAAGCTGAAGGGCTCTATTAAAGGCTATCAGTGATTGCTAGCCATGATGGCAGTTCTGTGCCACTGCAGTTGTAGAAGAAGAAGAAGAGTTTGGATTTGATATCCCGCTTTATCACTACCCTAAGGAGTCTCAAAGCGGCTAACATTCTCCTTTCCCTTCCTCCCCCACAACAAACACTCTGTGAGGTGAATGCGGCAGAGAGACTTCAAAGAAGTGTGACTGGCCTAAGGTCACCCAGCAGTTGCATGTTCAAAGTCACGAACCCGGTTCACCAGATTATGAGACTACCACTCTTAACCACTACACCACACTGGAAGTTTGCGTCTGAATGCCAGTTTCTGGAAACTGCAGTAGGGATGAGTGCTCTTCCACTTGCACCCTTAAAAATTCTATAGATCTCGTGTCTCTATATGGCGCCAGAAATGGATAAAGTCCTTGGGTTTTTTGAATGGCTTGTTTTAAATGTTCTCTTCAGTAGGCTGAGCCCCACACAGATTCTTCTGCCAGCACTACCCCAGATTTGCAGTACAATCTGATTGCTAGTCCAAAAGGTATTGTTTTAAAATCCATAAGATGACAAAGAGACAGGCTATGGTATCATTCAGAGAGCTTAGGCCAGAGCTATGAAGGATACTTGTGTTGGCTGATACTGCTTTTCATTTGATTCACAACCACAATAATAATTACAGTGGTACCTCGGGTTAAGTACTTAATTCGTTCTGGAGGTCTGTTCTTAACCTGAAACTGTTCTTAACCTGAAGCACCACTTTAGCTAATGGGGCCTCCTGCTGCCGCCGCGCCGCCGGAGCATGATTTCTGTTCTCATCTTGAAGCAAAGTTCTTAACCTGAAGCACTATTTCTGGGTTAGCAGAGTCTGTAACCTGAAGCGTATGTAACCTGAGGTAACACTGTATTTGTGAAAGCTCCTTCACTCTACTGAGCTGCCCTCTGTTAGGTTGTGTGTGTTTTTGTGAAGGGTCACGGTTATTTAGCTCTTATTTAGTTATTGCATGGGAACCATGATGCTCTTTGTCACATAGGGGGTATCTTGGTCCGTTCCAGTCTCTTGGTCCATAGTTCTTCTGTGTCCTAGACATAGATGCTGATCCTTGGCTTCTTTTTGCTCCAACAGAAGTTGAAGGAGTATCTGGAAGGGCGGAACCTCATCACCAAGCTTCAGGCAAAACATGACCTCCTTCAGAAGACTCTGGGAGAAAGTAAGTCTGGGAATCACTTGTCATTGTGTCAGCCCATCCCTCGTAATTACTGAATTAGGCAGCTGACTGAGCATAACAGACTTGGATTATCAATGCTAAGTGGACAAAGTCATGTTTTATGAATTTATTATTCAATCCCTACTGCACTGCTTAAGTAATGATGAAAGGGAAGTGCTTAATGAGCCAATAATGTGCATCATCTATTTGTTTAACTGAAGCATATGCCTATTTCCTCCCCCCATCCATTATAACAATCCCACAGAATCAAATTGGGGTAATCCTAGTAATTACTTTGTTTCTCCTAGCATGCAGATATTCTTATCATTTAAGGAAATGTTTTTTCCCCGTGGACCTGCTTGCCTTTCATCTCTGTGTGGACTCTTTTAAGAAATCCAGGATAAAAGGGGTATTCATAGGTAGAACTGGAGGTAACCATTCTACCAGTGCAAAGCCTGTTGTAACTTCATTAAACTGCTTGGACCACCAGCAGCTGGAGCTGGAATGATTAGTTGTCTATGACACTGACGTTGAACCAAGGTGCCACCAGAAGTTTATGTATCTGACTGCCCATGAAAAACCCATCTGTCCAGCTTCTGGGGAAGGGCAAGGCGAGGCAATCCTAGACTCGATAGAATGATCTGTTCATATCACAACAAAGACCAGCTCCGGCTTTCATTATAGCTGTCTGTGTTGATCTGTTTCCCATTTACAGGATTCAGGTCTTTGGGGAAAGGAGCTAAATCAGAGGGTTTGTTCTGAACTGTAATACGTTATAAAAGTCTTTTTGCCAACACTTCCTTTCATTCTTGCAAAATCTGCTCTGAGCCATATGGCTGAATGCCTCTGGCCCAGAATTAGCTGCTTTGAGTACAGCATCTGATTGGTACAATGAATACAGTGACATGACATTTTTTATTTCTTCAAATCATCTACGTGTGCCTATGAACATTAATGTGAATAGTTTGGAAAGTGCTTTGCATTCTGAATCCACAAATTTGTTGGATAAAGCTGTTGGTTATTTTTAAATTGACTCTGATCCATAGGAAGTGAAATGAAGCAATGGACACATTTTCCAGGTTTTCTGGCACAAGAAACTATTTGTCTATCAAAAAAGTAGAACAAGGCATGCCATTTCCTGGGAGCATTTTCTCCCTCTGAGTGTCTGGATATAATGCTCCTGCTGCTCCTGTGATGAATCACATTCCTGGGTCATAGCTGACTTCTGCATTCCAGCGTATGGCTCTTCTTAACCTGCCTGACCCACCAAACAGACTCCTGCAGATGAAAAAGACAGAAAGCTAAATGTCTTTCTTTTTTGGCTTTCTAATGTCAAAGAGCCCCTTTTGCTTCTATAATGCTGTTGTGGATTGGGTTGAAATGTGGTTGCAAAGGTCTTTGTCCCTGAGTTTGAGCCATTAAAACAACAACATGGGTGCAATTGTACTGCAGAACAAGGAACTTAGAAAAATGTATTTCCTAGCAACCCCAAATTAGAACACTATAAACTGAAGCAATTTTAGATCCCAATCCTAGTCAGTTTATAAATGCTATTGCAGTAGATAGTGGGTGACTGAAATCATAGAATCATCCTTCTACAACTTTAGCGTTCAGAAAGGTCATCTGGCAGAGTGCCTGACTTGCCTAACTTTGGAGCAACTTGATAGGGGTTTGTGTCTTGCCTCACCCCCCACTTCCCTTTAAGGTGACGTTTGGCTTCATTTGCCAGTTATTTTAATCTGAAGATGACAAGTTCCGTTAATAAAAAGTACCAGCAGATCTCTCTATCTGCGAGTAATTATTTCCCTGCCTTCCATCTGCATTTGTCACTGTAATACTATAGCCCTTTGATGTTGCCACAGCCGTGTAATTTATACATATGAATATTCTGTGATGGAAGTGGGACAGATGGTAAGAAACTCTGGTTTGGAATTATGCTGCTATAAATTATGCACCATTCTGGGTAATTGAGGTTTATGTTGGGAGGGAGAAAGTGACTGTTCAAAATGGGTTATTTATTTTCCATGATCAACAATTAGCTTCATTCCCATCACTTCATTTTTAATCTTGAGCTATGAGGCCAAGTCCTTAGTTGATGCAAATCAGCAACATTCCATTGCATAAGGCAACTTAAAAACTGTCTGAGCTCTGATACGTGCCAAATAATTTGTGTGTCTATCCTCCTCCTTTTTTTAAACCCTCAGTGTAGCATTTTTAAATATTGCCTGTATCAGCACTAGGCATAGTGGTTTGGGCCCTTTCCTTCCAAGCCATAATAAGGTTGGTGGTTTTTTGTTTTTTTGTATATAAATATGATTCCAGAAAATATCATTTAAAACCATGTCTCCTGAAATAGATGGGATGCTGGCACCTCGTGCTTGTGGGCTAGCAAATCTGTGAATGTTTTCAGTCTCTCCAAGTGGTTTCATAAAACACAATCTCTCTTCACTGCTGATTCCTTCTGGGAAGATGTCGGAGGAGGGAGAAGTGGCGTGGCTCTCCTTTGGCGGTAGCAGTCAACAATTATTGCATCTCTAGAAAACCAATTTCTGAAAGCAATGCTTTCCAAAGAGTCTTCAGGCAGCTTGGAGCTGTTTTTTGCATTTCCTGGTCAGCCATGGAGGGGCCTTGCCTGCAGGGACGTGCTCTCTTGATCTCCATAACAACAGAAGCAAGCGAAGAGTGGGGGGATGCTCAGTCACACTTCTTTATTTATTTAAGCCCCCCCAGTCCCTTTTGCCCCCAAACCAAGGTCGAAATCGCACCCACCCTTCCTCCTGTCTGCTACAAGTCTCTCTCCTTTTGAAACATAGCTGTTTTTCTCTTAACAGGTCAAAGGACTGACTGCTCTCTTGCCAGGTAGGTGTGGTTCCAAGCAGCTTTGTTGTTTCAGTATCTTCCACTAACCCAAACAGTCCCTTTCTTGCAAACAAAGCACTTGCCAATCCTCCTTCAAACTGCTACTCATTTTGATAGCATTTCTTATGTTTGTATTTTTTCCTAAAAACAAAAAAACAAAAATGCAGCTTCTGGAAATGTAAGCTTCCACATGAAAAGCCTTTGAAGCAGCCTCCCAAACAACGGCCACAACACAAGAAAGGACTGAGTCATATGCAATGCTAAACCGTGGCTTAGCACTATGTGCATAAGGTAGAATGAGCCCATGGAACCTTGGGCTTGTATGCTCCTCACCCCCACCCCAAGACGACATGTCTGGTGTTGGGGAAGGGCTTCCATGAATCCTTGCTTCTTGTTATGTATGAACTGGGCGTTGTGGTTTGCAGACACTAGTTACCGTATTTTTCGCTCTATAAGACGCACCAGACCACAAGATGCACCTAGAGGAAAACAGGGGGGGGGGGGGAATTCTGAATCTCAGAAGCCAGAACAGCAAGAGGGATCGCTGCACAGTGAAAGCAGTAATCCCTCTTGCTGTTCTGGCTTCTGTGATAGCTGCGCAGCCTGCATTCACTCCATAAGACGCACACACATTTCCCCTTACCTTTTAGGAGGGAAAAAGTGAGTCTTATAGAGCAAAAATTACGGTAGTTAAAACTCTGGTTAGTTAAAACAAACTAGCTTCATAATTGATGGCTTGAAACTGGCTTATTTTGAAACTTACCCGACTGTTTTAATCCACTGTCTTTGGTTCGTACGTAACAAGTCACCATTCATGGAAACAGAAAATGAATGTTTCAGAATTCCTTTCCCCTGACTGCACAGAAGGGAGGGGAGAGGAGCGGGGAGACCACAAGCCTTCCCTTGGCCTCACTCGAGCTTGAGCGCATATCACTAAGCCAGTCTTTGCTAACCTGGTGCCCTCCACATATTTTCAGCTGCAACTCTCACCATAATTCCCAGTTTTCAATCTTGCTGGCGAAGTGTATTGGATGTTATAGTTTAAAACATTCAGAAGACACCAGGATGGCGGCGATTGCATTCAAACCATGGCTTAGCATTAAGTGTGAACGGACCCAAAATAAGACATGCTATAGGCATGCTATTTAAGTAGAGTTGTTACGACTGTGTTCTGGGGCAATTTGGATAAATTGATACTAATTACCGAGAATTCTGACACATGGGTTGTGCTGTATAACTTGGGTCTAAGGGCAGAAATAGATACTAGATGTCAGGAACTGGTTGGACGCACAGGAATGGTGGGAGGAACCAGCTGGGGAACCACCAAGGGAAAAAGGCACAGAGCCTGGGGATTTATGGTGGGATGACGATGAGTGGTCAGAAGGAGAAGAGGGAGAAAACTGGGAGGAGGAGGTGTCAGAAGCTGAAGAGGTAACAGGGTTTAGTGAGCTGGGAGAGTCTGTGGCAAAGAAGTCTAGACCCAGAGGCAGAAGCTGAAGCAGGAGAGAAGGGAGGCCAAGAGACAGAGATGAGGCCAGAGATGAGGCATGGGTGTCTCTTACTGCGATGAGCTCCCCTCCCCCCTGGTCTTCAAGAACCAGGAGAGGAATGAAAAGGGAGGAGGATAAGTAAGCTTCACACAGGAGAAATCTCAGATTGCTTGGGGAAAGCCCTGGAGAGGAGAGGACTTACGCAGCTGTGGGGAAGTGGGGACCTTCCGTCACAACAACTCCTTCATCAGGGCAAGACCTACTGGAGATGAGTTGCTGTGCTCATTAGGCCTGACATTCCTGTGCAGATCTTGTTTTTGCTATTAAGGAGTTAACTCCACATGCTCGGTGTGATTTACTGCTGGCTCACTCCTGTCACTAAACAACAATGGGGATGCCACCAAAAGTGGAAACTCATGTCAAGTTGTCCTCCCAGCCCCATGAAGTTTAGGCAAATCTCACACATTGTGAGATCATCCTTGATGCCTAATGAAACTGGGAAACAACATAAATATGTATATTTCAATGACACGAGGAGAGGGTTTGGCTTTTGCTGAGCGTCACATATAGTTCCACCCTGACAAACTTGCTTAGGAGAGGGAAAGGGTGTGCCAAATATGCTGTCATCTCTTTTTTCTTCTTTTTTTCCTGGTCTAAACACCTTCCATTTTTCCAGGCTAGAGAAGACATTGTGCTTTGCTGGAACTCCTCTTGTCATGGGGGATAAAAAGCCCTGAAATAAATACCTGAAGAGCTTTTGATTGTTTAATAGGGATGGGGAGGGATCAGTCATAGAAGGGGTTTTCTTTCACTTTGGCCTATTGACCTCATCTGGTCTGACATGGAATTGGATTGCAGCAGTGGAGAAAATAAACGTTTTGTTATAACTGGGCCCGGCATCAATCATGCTATCATAAATGTCACCGTATATGTGGAAATAATAATAGAAAAATATGACTTTTGATGAGGCCTTCTTTGAAACATTGCAGATCTCCAAATTGCCTTTCTGTATTGGCTTAGAAGTCATGTACATGTGGAGAGAGTGCGAGCGCATACATGAGCCTTTCTAACAAAGGGAGGGTGATTATTCCATATCTGGAGTCATTACTTCATTTTGCATTTCTCATAGTAAAGCAGAGCTGACAGGTCCTAATTAGGGTCTGACAGCTGTAATAATAAAATATTATTCATTGCAGAACAACATTAAATATTGGGGAATCATTTAGGGTTGATAATTTAAAATATATTACATTCCTGTGACATTAATCTCTCCCCCCCCCCCGCCTGCCCCCGACACCATCCCTGCAGCTTGGTCATCCTTTCTTTTTCATCAGAATACCTCAATATTAAAAGTGCCATTATGGTTCTTAAGTGTGTAAGCAAGATTGCTTTCCTCACAGACTCAGCAACCATCTGTCCTGGCGGGGAGTTTAGTTTCATGATCCAGGGACTTTTCAGTAGTTTGTATCTTCTGCAATTCATTTGGCAGAACAGAAATGGCTGAATCAGAAGCAAAGCTGGAGAGAAGACAAATGGATCAAGGCTATTAGAGCTGATTTGAAACATCTTTTCAAGGGTAAAGAGAAGTGCTCCCACATAACAGGTGGATGAGCTGAATGAGAGATACTTGAAGACAATTTTTTTGACATAAGGTCAATAAAGGTTGGGCAAGTTAGCCCTCCAGATGTTGTGGATTCCATTTCTGAATGAGAACATCCAGTGGTTAAGAATGGTGGACGTTGTAGTTCAGAACATCTGAATAGCACTCTGATAGCCACCCGTGCACTAGAGCATTGCCATTGCGCTCTGCATTTACCACCTCACATTCTCTTGAGCCAAAACAGATTTTGTTAATGCATGGATCTGTCCATATCTTAAGGGATATTTACACTTTCCACTGGAGTAGAAGCTTCTATCAACTTGTGTGTTGTGATAATATGAAATCCCACTCCTATGCAGTGGACTGCTGCCCTTTGTCAGGTTTTTGTTGTTGTTGTTATATTTTAACATCCATAAAACTACTACAGTCGTACCTTGGAATTCAAACAGAATCTGTTCTGGAAGTCCATTCAACTTCCAAAACGTTCGGAAACCAAAGCATGGCTTCTGATTGGCTGCCGGAAGCTCCTGCAGCCAATCGGAAGCTGCAGAAGCCCCTTCAGACATTCGGCTTCCAAAAATAGTTTTGTAAACCGGAACAGTCACTTCCATGTTTGAGGCATTTGGGAGCCAAAACATACAAGAACTAAGCTGTTCGAAAGGCAAGGTACGACTGTATATGAGAAGCAAATAGAAGGGCATAGCTAGAGCTATAAGATTTCAGGTTCAATCTCTGGCCTGAAACTCTGGACAGCCACTGTTGCTCAGTGTTGTAGACAATACTGAGCTCGATTGGATTCTCCTCCTCCTCCTCCTCCTCCTCCTCCTCCTTCTCCTTCTATGTACTCTTCCCATCTGACTGGGTTGCCCTAGACACTCTGGCAGCTTTCAACAGATATAAGGTAGCTTACTGTGTTACTCTCTACAATGAGAGCAGGCACAACAGAAGTTAGAGAAAACACTGTGAGACAGTCACACCAAATGTAGCTTCACCCATTCTCAGGATGAGCCACTCACATAGCTGAGTAAGTACCTGAGTTCCATAGATGGAACTTGCAAAAATCCTTAAATAAGGGAATTACAAAGGACTAGCTGAACTTCCGTTGACCTTCGGGACTCCAGAGAAGGATTCTTAGTGCTTCTGTTGGTACCAAGCATATACCGTCTAGGTACCCTTCCTGCTTCTCCTCAGAAATTCACAGCCTGGAAAGTCTGTTATTGCTTTCTACCCGGGCAACATCCTCAGCTCACATTGGATGTGGTCAGAATGGGTGGCTGCACATCACACAACTTATTTACTCTTTTGTAAGGCTACTCCCATACTATTTATAGCAATGGTATATGTATGCTGCTTAGAGAAATGATACAAAAGGTTCTCATTTCCTTCCCTCCATAGTGGAGAAGGCTTGGCAAAAAACCCCCATAAAAGGCCATTCCTTCCTCTTTGGATCATACACTAACATCCGAGAACACAAACAGTAATCACGAGGTCATTTGTAACATAGCTTGTCATTTCAGTGTGGTTTAATTTGTCTGTCACTTTCCTTTTCTTGGGCACTTGTTTTAATAAAGAAACATGAATAGGTTTATATTAATCTCCACAAGAGAAACAAATTTGCGTTTTTTCCTCCCCATTGTGGTTCTAAATCACTCAGCAGAACTCACCTACCTTAGTGTGGTGCTGACTGTAAATTATCACTAACTGACACAAGAATGATGGAGGTTTATAATGGGTTTCTCTGCAGTTGGAAGTAAAAGGTTAAGTATAGCCTTATGTTAGCAATAAGCTTTGCTGCGTCCATTTTGGGCTTTTATTTTAGACCACTTAATGTTTCTGAAAGTCAGGAGTAAATGAGTGGGGGGTTTTCTGCCTCCTCTCCACCCCCAGGAAGAACCATTTATATACCAAGTGAGGTGGCATTTGGATTGTAAGTGATTATGCTGACATATGCCTTTGCTTTCTTTTCCTCTTCTTGCTCCTTGATCAATCATGGCTCGTCTTGACTTTGGGATCAACAGCAGACGCAGTTCTACCATAAGGAAGCAGGTAATAAAGACTTCATACAATTACAGAAAGATTAATTGATGCCATTTATATGATTGCCAGATGTTATTTCTTGCCACCAATATTTCATAGCGGGGGAAATGATGGGACCAACCCAAATTACCTTGGCCAAACCAAGACAGCCGCCAAGTGCAGTCCTCAAAGGAGGGAATGCATAATCTCCTCCTTACCCAAAAGAATCTGCATAATGGATTGTTGTTTCAAGGAAAAAACCTAAACCAATATTAGTTTTGTGTTTGATAAATCACTAAGCTTATGAAGCTCCAAAGGAACACTTCTCCATTCAGAGACGCCTCAGACCTAGTCATTACTAGCAGCAACACTGAACCCTTTGGGGGAGTGATTATGTCCACAGTATACAACAGCAAGCTGCTTCAATCTGACCTAGAAGGGCCTCCAAACTTCAAGCCTGTACTTGTTGGAGAATATTTAATTGTCTTCATCTCTAGCTTTTTCCTCTTCTCCCTCCTTTTTCTCATGTTGTAGATTTGCTGAGCTGAATGCTAGGGGAAGATAGATCTTAGTAAGAGACTTGGCTCTGATCTATTTGCTTGGGTGGGAGGGAGGAACAGAGACTGCGTAAGACAGGCATGTCCAAAGTCCATTTCTGGGGCCTAATCTGGCCCACCGGCCAGTTTAATCCAGCCCCTGTGGCAGTTTATTTCCTGGGGTAAAATTGTAAAAAAAAAAAAGGTCAGCAGCTTTGGTCGGCCTTTTGGTCAGCCCTCACACATGTTCACTTCATCAAATCTGGCCTCCCTTTGAAAAAAGTTTGGACACCCCTGGTGCCCTAAGCCAACACTCTGGCTCCAAAGCAGTGTAAGCAAAGCAAAGCAATTGCTTTTGAATTGTCCAGGGGAAGCTCTGGAGTGGGCAGGTCATCTTAAGATAATGTATTCAGATAACTGAGTGCATAGTCAGTGAGTCAATAGACAGGGCTGCTCTGTGGTCCTAAGCTGTTGCACATGACATTGGAACTCCAGGGACACAGAGAGGGAGAGGGGCCTTGGCAGGCTAAAGGGTCCTGGGCAAGAGCATCTCTTGGTGATATTTTAGTATACTTTGTTGTAGGCTTAGCATTTATCCTTTACTCACTTGGATGTAACACAGCAGTGTGAACTGTTTCATATAGATGAAAACTTTATGCCCCCCTCTTTGTGTGTGTGTGTTCTCTCCCCTTATCCTCTACTGTCTGGGGCCTCTGAGTTTGAAGCTATTGCCCTCTAATGGCTCTAGCCAGTATAAGCAGTGTATCATAATTCTCCTATATACTCACATTTATGCTACTCAGCTTATTGCTTCTGTCTACTGTAATTTTTTACTAGGGTTGTCGGCCGCTCAGCTTGCCTTCCTCTTCTGCTTTGCTAGATAGGATTTTGTTAAATGTGTACATGTGCTCCACTAATAAGAGAAAATCCAATATATATTTTTTTGTCCCTGGTGGATGATTTACAGCATTGTAAGTTGGGCTCAATAATAAAGAAGCTAGGTCATATTGTCATGGGACAGGGAGGACCTGATATCTTTTTCTAGGCCAGTTTTGATTTGAGGCTTCACTTGTTCTTGTAGTAGTTGGTTTTTTAAATTGTTAATAACTTGAAGCATACAGGAATATTAAGTTAATTTCTCCATAAAGTAGTCTGTTTCTATTTTGAAGTCAATTCTATATCAGGATAACCAGCTCCATGAGTCTATTCCTGATGATACTTTGCCACTGAAGAAATTAAAGACAAAATATTTTGGCATAACATATTCCAAATAAGATATGTAAAAATTCCAATAAGCTTTTTCTCATTGTAAATCCAGTTCTTTCTTGCATGCAAATGTTTGCTTTTATCCTCCTGTACCATGAAGCCTTTTTCTTCTTTTTTTGGAGTAGAATGAAAGGATTTCTAAGGCCTTTGATTTTATTTATTTTTGTTTACATAACACACATGGTTGGGAAATGGCGGAAAGACTTGCCGTGATTGGTATACTTGCCTCACCCTTCCAAGCTATACAAATTAGAGGCTCTTTTATTTTCTAAGTGCCCTTATTTGGGGGGGGGGTTGTTTCCTGCCATCTACGTGTTCTTCTCTTGGAAAGCTCAATCTTTGAATACCTGAAACACTTAATTTCTGGAGGCTGTGTTTTTCTGTTTACACACTTGAAAAAAACTCTGTAGAACTTCTAAGGTCTCTCATAGGATTCACGAGTGTTTGTTTTCTGTCAAATCACACCAAACGCTGCAAATCTCCCTTTGCGGGTGGAGGAGCAGCTTGGGCTAGACACAGGAGCGCTTTGTCACACCCTACCTGTCTCTGCTCCTCCCAGCATCCCTCCACCCCATAGCGAGCTCCGCCTTCTGCCTGCTGAAGGAAAGCCACAAAATGGAGCATTCTGGGGAAGGAGGAATATCTGAGCCAGCCTGGCATCCCCTAGATGCCCAACCAGCCCCACTGCCACCACAGCACTATGGGGCCTGATTGGAGCCCATTCAAAGGTTGTTGCAAAGATTTCCATTGCTGCCCTCCTGCCCCCTTCCACATACACACGGTCCTGCCTAGCCATGCTGACTAAGGTACTATAATGAAAAGATAGCTGAAACAGCAGGGAATTATCACCTTCAATATAACCACAACACTGAATAATGGCAGTAATCCCTGTTTAAGCGTTCTCTATGAGGGTGAATAAATTCCAACTCCAGGTTTAACCTAGACTTTCTTTCAGAGAGAGAGCGCAATAGACTGAATGTGTTCTGGCAGTTAAAATACAGAAAATCCAATAGCTATTAATGACTCCCTCCAGTGTGTGGATACACAAAGAAAGTATATATTGCACAGTGTCTGCCGTGTAGGAATTTTGTGATGGGAAGTATCCCTCCACCTGTAGCCTTTTCCGAAGAATGTTCATTTCGGAACTGTATCATTTTTTTAAAGCTGCACTATCATTTGAATATTCTTTTCATCGCATATTTCTCCTTTTGTTGTTCAGGATTCCAGCCAAGCGATTCCCCTGGTGGTAGAGAGCTGCATACGATTCATTAGCCGACATGGTGAGTTTGGAGATGGTCAAGCTAAAGTGTAGTTTGTTCTGCACAGTATTCAAGTAGCCTGTTGAAGCATAGTCAGGACTGCGATCTGAAAACACAGGAGGCAGCAAAAGCTGGTATAAGTCTTGTTTGGTCCTAGAGGAGAGACCTCCAGTCAACCCTGTGGACATTGCCTTGAGTTTCCTCTTGGAAAGAGCAGGAAATATAAGTGAAATAAAAGGCAGGACAGAATCAAAATGCATAAGTAGAGCACAGCTTGTGATTGTAGGACTGCCTTTTAGTGTGTGTGTGTGTGTGTGTGTGTGTGTGTGATGTTTCTTTCTTAAGTTACTAGAAAATGCCCTGGACATTTTGAATTAAAGTATAGAAATGTTTTAAATAAATCTGTAAAGTTTGCATACGGTAATTTTTCTACTCAAGCTAACTGCATTCTTATTTAATAAATTTAATCAATAACTTAATACATTTGTATCAATAAATTTACATAAGTATTTAATAAATAGGTAATAATATTTTATGGAGCCATTCTGTTTTCTGAACTGTGACGCAGGAGCCAAAGGTATACACACATATTATATGTATAGTCCTTCTGGATTCCTGATACGTGATTCTTTTTCTTCCTGTTCGCTCTCTCTTAGCATTAAGGTGTTGCATCTTTATTCCTTTCAAATCAATCTTTTCCTTCACCTTATGAGTTCTGAGATTTCAGCAGGCACGTCCTGCGTATTGCTGAACTTTTAGTCAGAGGGGAATGGCGTCCCTTGTTCTATCAGAAGGCTATTTTGTCTATTTGGGGTTGTTTTGTCATAGTTCTGCCAAGTTTTCCTCCTGCCTGCAGCCCTTCATGTCACTTTTAACTCTGTTCCAGAAAGGTTTTCCCAACCCTCTGGAACAGAATTTGGGTGCACATAGGGGGAATGCCTCTCTCACATTGTGGAGATGGAAGCCTTCATTGGATCAAGAAACATGTATCAGGAGGATGCTACTCTATGTATTTATATCATTTATCTATTTATGTTCTTCCATTTGTATTATGCCTTTTTTCCACCATGAGACCCAAGATTTGTGTGGTTACTCACCCAATCACTGACCCAGACATGCTTAGTCTCAGCAAGATTATTTGTTCAAAAATCATAATTATCACAATTTTAAAGATTTATGAAATAAACACTGTTCCACAGGAAATAAGGTATACTCTGACATAATTAATTTATCTTTGGCTATATGATATGCTAAAATAAATGGCTCTAGATCAAAGCTTTGCATGTCGCTGCTTCCTCCCCCCTCCACACCCCTATCTTCTTCTAGCGAACACAAACATACTTTATGTGTAAGAGACATTTTGTTATCTGATAACAAATAGCAGATTTTCTCCCAAGTCATTACAGGCTGCATTTCTGAAAATGATCTATGAAAGAAGTGTTCCTTAGGGAACATAGGGTCAGATCCAGTCTTTGCTCCATGAATGGAAATCCCCCACTGCTCATCAAAGGGTCCTTCTATTCATAGAGCAAAGATTTTGGATCCAACCCATATATGGTAGAATAACATAATGCACTACAGTCTTCAAAAATTGCTCACCATATATATGCAAACAATTTATTAATAGAAGTTTTGACACATCTTTTCAGTTACGCTGCTGGTATTTTACTTACTTACTACCTACATTTCTATACTGCCCTTTATCTGAGAACCACAGGGCAGTTTACAATATAAAAACACACACAAAAAATACATACCTTAGTAACAAACAGTACCCCCCCCGCCACCCCAACACACACAGTTTAAAAGGCTACAGATTGTTTAATTGCCCAAAGGCCTGGGAGAACAGGAATGCTTTTGCCTGGCTCCTAAAGGTACCCAACGACAGTGCCAGGCGAGGTTCCCGGGGTATAGTCTAGAAGCCTTCATTTGGGAGAGGTGGTTAAATAGGATGTCTGGGCATATTTTTAAGAAGTTGTACCACTTCTGCGGATGGCAAGGTAAAAATATATTCCATATCCAATTGAACATCCTGATATTATTAAATTTGGGACCCGCTTCCTGTCCACATTAACAGTTAAATCTTTCAGTTCATCTGGAACTAACTTATAATTTAAAATAAACATTACATTTAACATCTGTTTCAGAATTTTAAATAAGTTTCAGATTTCTTGGCTCAGTTATTCTGGGTCCTTTTTTTTTTGCAAGTTGCTCTAGTGGCAGGTCTTTTGTAACCCTTCTTCCTCTATGCAACATCAGCCAATAAGATAGCAAGGTACGATGGGCTTAGATCTTTATAGTATAAAACTGTTCTTGGTTTTCATCATGGTTGTGGGTGTATAAGTTCCATTCTGGTTGCTGTTGCCAACTCCTTCTTTCCCAATAGTCCCAGGCCACAGATTCAGACGTTCTGACTCAAGGAATGAGGCAGTTGAGCAGCTCAGCAGCTGTATCCATGACTGAGCAGCCCTTTTTAGGATCCACTCTGCTCACCCTGAAAAGGGGGAGGGGCTAGAAAAGGTGCCCTAAACATAGTCTGCCTTCCTTTTTCCCTGACTGGATTACCGTGCCCAGTGGGGTCACCACCCAGCGGTCGTAAAAGACAATTGAACTTTGGAACATGGAATATTGTGTTAGATAACACAGACAGCGATCGTCTTGAACGCAGAACTGCCATCATTGCAAGAGAGCTGTGATGTTTTAACATCAATATTGCAGTGCTTCAAGAGACTCGAAGAGCAGGTGAGGGACAACTGAAGGAAGAAAAAGGAGCTACACATTCTCCTGGAAAGGTCTATCTGAACAAGAACATGGGGTAGGCTTCGCCATCAAAAATGACCTTGTGAAGCTCCTGTCAAAAGTCCCTACCGGCATTAATGAGCAACTCTCAACCCTTCAAATAAAGCTCACCAAAAACCAACAGGCTACTATTATAAGCGCTTATGCACCAACACTGGATGCCGATGAAGACATTAAAGAAGAATGTTACTCTCAGCTGGATACCGTCCTATCAGAGATGCCTAAGGAAGATAAAATTAGCCTCCTGGGTGATTTTAATGCAAGAGTTGGGTGAGATCATAATCTCATTGTTAAAACCTTGTTTATGGAAGACAATCTTACTTGGCTATGAGTGATCACCAAAGAAGAAGGAGGAGGAGGAGGAGGAGGAGGAGGGTGTATAAATGGCCAAAGTGGCATCCACCAGATGGTGTTGGGACTAAAAGTCCTGTCAATTTGGCCCATGCTGGCTGGGGCTGATGGGAGCTGGAGTCCAGCAACATAGGTGGTTGTCTCCTGTGAAAAAGTAACATTAGGTATGGTATTAGCTGTCACCTCCAGATTTTCCACCCAAGATTCTCCCTCATTCAGTATGGATCTGAGTATTGAAAAGGTTTAATCGGATTTATAACAGTAATAATTCTCCATTTATAGTGATGAGAATTCTCCTTTCACATAAGCCTGTTCCCTGGATAACAATATTTGTAATTATACTATCCAACATTAAAATTAAGTACCATTTTAGTTATCCCGCCAGCTGTGTTCCAGGTGAGCCTATCTAGCTATCTTAAGCTCTTCTTCTTATTAGTTTTCTCTAGTCTCTCTTTTCTACTTCCTCAAGGGGATTTTCCCTGGAGGCTTATCTGGCCTAGGGATGGGCATATGTAAGAATAGAAACATTTCTCTAGTGATTACACCTGGGCAGTAAAATTATTCCTATACAGTTATGGGATTCACTACTGATCTCCTTTGTTGTTTCCTTTTAGCATTGGTTTAAGTAATCTTTAAATAAAAACAAGATTCGTCTACACTGGAGATAATATGAATTTCCTCTGCTGCTGCTGTTATCATCCCCTTCTTGTTTTTGGTACTAAAATATTATGAAGAATCAAACAAGCATCTGCACTTGATATGTGATGATGGATTATCCTTCCTAGTAGAGAGCTCCTTACCCTAACACCTTAGGACCACCATCACTATGATTTGCTTTTTTTTCATACTATGTAGCAACGTATTTTCTATAAACCATTTGATAGATTCCCCTAGAATTTCTGCCTTGACAATTGATCTTAATTGAATGACCTGAAGTGTGACCTTTGTCTAGAAAATCGGTCATCTTAATTGACTTGGCACTGTTGTTTCTCTATGTTTAGCCTTTTGTTTTTTAAGGCTCTGCATGGAAAGACACAGGATTCTGATTCAGCACCACATTCCTACCAAGGTTTGTGCTATGATTTACAGCTAATGGGTTGTCTGGGAGAGCTAAACCATGACTCCAGGTTCGGACAATGTGCTAAGTCAAATCTTGGCTTAGCACAACACAGCAGCAGAATTGCCAGAGAGGAGCACAGCACTCACAATCTCCTCTCCCAGAACCTGCACATTTGCAGCTAAGCCATGGTTTGGCTTAGAGTGATGTCCGAAGCAAGCCGCTGATTCAACAAAATCTTATCTTAATTTGATTTTCTAGTCTGAGTCAACCCCATTTGAAAAACAGCCATCTAATTCATCTTGCATTTTGAAAATTTATTGATGTTACCAAAAATCCTCTTTCAATGAAGGTAGTGTTCGTATATAGCACTTCTTGAACAATTGCTTAATTATTATTAATTTAGAAGACACATTACACAATCGTTAAGATGCTGGTTGTCCAGTAAATGCAGAATTAGAGCAGGGGCAGGTAACTGGTCTGTAAAGCCTTCTGTAAAGCCCAGCAGCCTTCTGCTGATTTTCTTGGCAGCAGCAACAGCTGCACCAAAGCAGAAGAAAGTCAACCGCCCAGTTTCCTTTGTTGCGCCAATGTTCCATTGTCTTTTATAACAGTCTGGCTGTGGTGGTGTTGGCAGCAATGAAGAAAACCCAAACAAACCACCCAGTGTTCTCTCTTCTGTGATTTCTGCTGGTCTCAGGAATACTCAGTCATCATTGGAGGAGCATCGCTGGCACTGGACAAGATTGCAAGTGATCCTCCTCCCAGCTGACCCTTTTGAAGCATCAGAGAAAAGCTGCAGGCTTTTGCCTCCAGCATCATTTGACTCCTCTAAGCAGGCAGGAGGTGGATTCCTGACAGGAAGGAAGAAGTCAATGCCAAGTTGGAGAAAGGCCCTAAGGGGGCAGAGTAGGTCTGGGGCTGGTGACCGATGCTCTTTTGGGGCTTGCTTATTTAGAATCTGTTGGCAAAGCTCCATCCCATTGCAGCCAAGTGATGGTGCGCAAGCAGAACACACTCGGGAAAGACATACGCATGATCACTCGCTCCCTTTCTCCCCAGGCCTAATCTTTCACAGAATCACCTCTCATATGCTTGAAAATGATAAAGTAAATGCCTTAGTACACTCTAAAGTACAGTGATTACTTCAAACTTCTGGGAGCTGGGAATGTCCCATGAAAGCACCACCATCTATAAGAGTCAAACATGTTATTTGTCGTCCTGGATGCTATGAAAGTAGTTCCTTGGAATTGCCTCTAATAGAGCACAATCTGTGTGCAAGTGTGCGCCATCTGTTTCTCTTTCAGGCCAAGATAAGTTTAGCAAGCCTTGATGCCATTCCTCGCCCCCTTCTTTTCTCTCTCTAGAATCTTTCTCATTCCAGAATTGCTACCCTAAGAGCCCCGCTGTTCTAGGAACTGTGGACCATGGATGCTTCCTCAGTGCTGTGTGTCTTTTAGAAGACATTAAAATCATTCTTATTGGCTTCCTGAATGCCAAAGTGAATTTTAAAAAATTAGACGAATACTTTTTAACAACGTATGAATTGTGCCAACTTATTGCTGTGGATTTAATTACACCAGTGCTGGTGTGCCACTTTTAATTAATTTTAGCTGTCAAACAAGTTGGATTAACGCTCGGGTAATGATATGTCATCTCGATTTGGATTAGCGTGTTCTTATATCATCATGTTGTTGAATCTGACAGATAACTGAATTTCAGTGACTGAAGGAAGGATTGTAAGAATGTTGTAAGTGTATCACTTGCTTATGTATTTCTGTTTTCATGTATTTCTCTTATTTTCTTTGCAGGGCTGCAGCATGAAGGGATATTCAGGGTGTCAGGATCTCAGGTTGAGGTGAATGATATAAAAAATGCATTTGAGAGAGGTAAGAGTAGTTGGGTTTTTGGTATTGCACAATTCTCTGCAATGTGTCTTCATGCTTCTGGGTTATTAGTTTAAGCGAGTTGAGACTGAAGTCATAAATGAAGACTTCAAAGGTCTGCCCAATCTTAGGCAATTCCCACTTCCCCCAGTGGCTCCCACACACTGCATCTCAAATTGTTTAAGTAGACCCCCAACACACTGGAGAGTTTGGGAGGGCACAGGTGGCTGCAGGGGGAGGCAGAAAAAGGGCACTTCACTGTCCTTAGTTACGTTAGAATCATATATACTATAACTCAAGCCCATTGTCACTGAAACAGAGTGGTGCTTTCAAGTCACTGCTCTCCTCTTTCCAAAACATGGCACCTGTATTCTCCAGTCAGCTTGAAAGGCTGGTCTTAATATCACACAATATTTTACATTCAAATTATCTGCCTAGTAAAAGCAGATCAGCATGTCCAACCCATGTCAAAGGGCCTCTAGCTAACAGTGCGTATGTGTGCAACTTTATCAGTCGTGAGGTTATGGAGATTGCTGTGGATTTGTCCTTTGCCTAAGAATAAGAGATGATCTATAAGGGTTCGTGGAAATCTGTTTTGTGGTGGGCGGATGTCAGATGCAAAAGGTCACACTTTATGGAGCATTTATGGAAGGCTGCTTAGAGAAAACAGATAACTGTTTTAGTATCTTTGCATGCATAACATTGATTTTTTCCCATTTCATCTCTCATGGCCTCAAATCCAGTGAGGTACTAAACTAATGAAGTTAACCTTAATGTATGTGAGTTTATTACTTCATCAAGAGCCCTTGGTGACAGTTAATATTGGGGATAATGCTCTAATTCATAGTTGCCTATTTATTATACTCTGTGGTGTTAAGATAATAGCTGTGCCTTGACTATTTCTCTCGTAATGGATATCTCTGTGAGAGCAAAAGAGAAGACTTGCCCCATCATCAAATCTGATTATGTCCAACAGCAAGTTCTCCTTTGGGACTTTCTGCTTCGGTGCAAATCTTTCCTTTGTCTTTGGCCAAAACCAAACCTATAAACTCCAGTAGATTAAGAGTCACACCGGAGACCTGTGTGCTCATGCACTTCATTAGCTTTGCTAGTCTAGCACCACCTGCCTTTGAAGCTGAGCAGGCTGGTAATCAAGCTTTCCATCAGTTGCATGTAAGACTCTACTGGAAGCACAGCAACTCAACTCTTCTGGAAGATGGAAGGGCCTACGTGATGCAACTTAGAATCATAGAACTGTAGAGTTGGAAGGGACCCTGAGGATCATCTAGTCCAGTGTTTCCCAACCTTGGGCCTCCAGCTGTTTTTGAACTACAATTCCCATCATCCCTGACCACTGGTCTTGCTAGCTAGGGATGATGGGAGTTGTAGTCCAAAAACAGCTGGAGGCCCAAGGTTGGGAAACACTGAATTCTAGTCCAACCCCCTGCAATGCAGGAATATGCAGCTATTGCATACAGGGATCAAACCTTGGTGTTATCTGCACCATGCTGTCTCCTGTTGCCCCATGTACATATGTTAACCTTTTGTTGACTGTCTTTGGATAGGAGTCGGGGCTGCTGAGAGGTGTTGCTTACTCAATGTACTTACATAGAATCTTTTGTTGGATACCTATTTGGGGGGGGGAGGGGAGGGGTGTTTGAAATCATTATAGGTTACATATTATGAGCCACTTGGGCTCCTGCCTGTTATTTCTCCTGTGAGGTTCAAGCTTCTGATAGATTACTCCTTATTTTGTTTTGTTAATATGCGCCTTCTCTGTTTGTTCTCTTGTCGTTCTTGTTTTGTGGTAACCAGGGGAGGATCCACTGGCTGGAGATCAAAATGACCATGATATGGACTCAATAGCAGGTGTACTAAAGCTCTACTTTCGTGGGCTAGAGCATCCCCTCTTCCCCAAGGAAATCTTTCATGACCTGATTGCCTGTGTCAGTAAGTAGCACAAGGATGAAATGAGTCAGTTGAAGATAAGGCATGCAAAGAAACACAACACAAGGAGATAGCTGCCCCTGTCGAGTGACAGAATGAGTAGCAAACCACAAAGGTGTAAAAATATTTAATATAACGTAGAAGGTAACACATATTCTAATGTGCATTGAAGCGGAAATGTTTTTCTTCAGGAGATATGTTAAAATGACAATTTTAATGCATGAAAACAATAATCAGAATGTTAATGCCATTCACCGATGCAAAATCTAACCCCAACAAAAATTGAACGTGCTCTTCTTCAGACAGAATTCTTAATATATCTGGCACAAAGCACATAGAATAAACCATTTTCTATAATACATATAATAAAGATTCTTGCACCTTCTGACATTTTTCTCTCTGTGCCCTCCGCCCCCATAAAAGTCAGTTAATGATAACATCTTATATAGTTCAGCCTTTTTTATATATCTGTGGGAACTTGCTCATTATCCATCCTCTGTGTCTACACAATCTCCCCTCTTTACACCCCACCCCCAGCACTTGTAAGACTTCAGCTATCTCTCTAAAACCATGCTGCTGGCTTCTCAGAACATTCCCTGATACTTTGACGGTATCTCAAGGAAAATGAGCAAGAAACCGGAATTGTACAAGGTTGTATTAGAACCTACTATAATTTGATGCCCCAGTTTGTTGCTGAGGTGGCAACATTAAACACAGAACAAGAGTTAGAAAGAGGACCTCTTTCTGTTTGCTTCTCATTAGCCATGGCCTGTTGACAGTTAAGTCATCAATATGTGTATCTGCTTATTGTATTAATTCATTTAAAATGTTTTCTATATTGCCTTTCAGCCCAGAATTCCATAGCAATTAACAGATTAGAACTAGTAATGAAACATCAGGGAAATACTATGTTAAAGAGAAACTGACCAACAAGCAGTACAGGAAGTCTCCTAGTTGACTCACCCTTAAAAAAAGAAAGAAAAGGGGGGGGGGGAGAACTTGCTGTCTATACTGTTTGAAGATACAGTAGTTGCAATGTGTCTTGGGCTGTATGTATATTTAGAAACCCAGCAGCTGTGTCTTTTTTTGGCCGGGTACCTTCCGTAACCATAAGAGTCAATTCCTTATGGTGTTTCTGTACAGAACATAGAAAATGACTTTCAACTAGTTAAGCTGTTAACATACAACTTTATCATTTCAAGAGTGCTTTTAAATGTTCTTGTGACTTCAAGTTTGCAATGAACTCCCCCTGACTCATTCAGAGAGCAAACAATGAATCCATTGTCCGAGTGTAAGAATGTCAGTGATGGAAGCAGCCTTTGAAGTAGCATGTAGGAGAGCTCCTTTTAAAAGGATCTGTGGTTTCATTCTCCCTGCAAATTAGTCTACACAGTTTTACTCCTGTTAGATGAAAAGAGCAGTCTGTTGCCAAATAATTCTGGACTTCCAGAGCCAAGGATATATGCTGCCCACTTTTTTCCCATTAGACTGCTGCAGACAGAGCTCTTTACCTCACCCTCCAGTTATGTTAATCTATCTGTGGAATACTGTGCCAAAGGTTTTGCTTAAGACACCCACCTTACAGAGCTAACTTTAATGGGCTATTGTGTTGTGGCTTGTGCAACATACAACACTCAATTCACCCACGCTGCATGGACCTTGAAGATAAATTTCTCATCTTCTGCTTTGAAGGACCTTTTTCATAACAGATAGGAAATCATGCCTCTGTCATCTTCTGTGCAGGGCTTCATAAATGTTTTCAAGAACTGCTCAGACCCTTTCCTTCCAAGTTGCTTTTGTTGCCCTTTCCCCCCATCCCTCCCCCAATTAAGGGTCATTTCACATTTCAAGTCACATTTCTGTTTTACTTCATCTGTCATCTTGAGGGGCTGCAGGTGGCAGTAAGTTCTCACTTCCATTTGATAAAATAGACTTTGGCACAGTCTTCATGCATTGGATTTTCCCTGCACCCATATAAATATGAAACAGTACTCAAAAGTAGCAATGTAAAGTTTCCATGCAATGCCACTTATTGTGTGATTAAACAGCAGCTGCTGCTCTTTTTTCTCCTTCCTCCTAGCAATGGACAATCTGCAGGAGAGAGCTCTACACATCCGGAAAGTCCTTCTGACTTTGCCTAAAACCACTTTGATTGTAATGAGATACCTCTTTGCATTCCTCAATCAGTAAGTATTCCTCAAGCACAACTGATAGATCTGTAGTGTTGGCTTGCCAAGTAAGAATCATAGAGTTGGTGGGCCTTGCTTGGTTCAAGGAGACCAGAAGCCTCAAGAGATGACTCTCCACCCTTTGTGTGAAGACTTCCATGAGACCTGCAAGAAAGAGCTTCTCCCAGTCATTCAAATTATGCACAGAACTGAGTTCCTGATCACTTAAGTGTAAAGCATTCATTTCTTTTTAGTTGGAGCCTGTGCTTGAGCTCATCTCTGAATATCACTTGTATTTTTACTGCCAACCTGTGGGCTTTTTTTCTTGTTCGGGTAGCATTCTGTTGGCAAAAATCTCCACGACCAATATTGCTGTTCCCTGATTCTAAGGGGAAATCTTGCTAAAAGAGCTACCTTTTAGGGACAGCCAACATTTCAGGGTACTGGAGAATTTTTGTTCGGATGAAATAAGGCCTGTCTTGAGACTTCCTGTAGTATTGCTCTGGAAAACAATGAGGTCTTGATTGCAGCCTGGAAAATTCAAAACCATATCCCCACAAAGTGTGTCATTGTCCTGCCACCCCTCCAGATACTGTTAGATAGGAAAGACCCCACTTCCTGCAGCTCAGGAACAGAACTTTCCACAGCAGTGTTAGGAAATTCTTCCATGCCTTGGGATTCCCTTCCCTCAGATGCCACTTCTAAGTCACTGAAGTGAATGGCTGCTTCCGCCCTTAATAGTGTCTCATTATTCAAAGAACTGGACTGGAAAACTGTGTTTGTTTCAAGAAGAATTGTCCAGGCATCAAATAACCCTGTTTTGTACTTAACCATTAACTTGGTGCCCTGAAATGCCCAAACTGATGCAATTTGCTTTTAAGATTTAATCACACAAACCTGACCGTTTAGAAAACTGCATTACCACAGAGGACACTCACTCTTCCCACTTTGCATTTTAATTTGGCCAATAGATGGCTTTGGAGGGGGTCTAAACAGGGGACAATACCAACATTGGAGGAAGGAGTTTGGTTTTGAGCATAGGCGCCAACTCCATGGGGCCTGAGGGGGCTCGAGCCCCCTCAAAAAATTTTTTGGGGGGCTCAGCCCCCCCAATAATCTCGGGCGCCCTTCCAGCAGAGCGCCGCCGCCGTCCCCCGCCTCCTCCCCACCTGCTCCCTCGCCAGCCAGCCAGCCAGCCGCGCGCCCTAGTCGGAGAGCCCCGGCCGTCCCCCGCGAGATTAGGGAATCCCCGGGGGCGGGGGCTCCTGCCTCGCTGCTTCGCAGCACCACCGCCACTGCCAAGGCACTGCCGGGGGGAATTTCCTTCCTCCTGGCCCCCGCGAGAACAGGGGAATCCCGACTGGCCACACCTCCCAGCCAGCCGATTGGCTGGCTGGGGGGCGTGGCTTGCCCTATTTAGGGCCGGAGCCACTTTATTTGCATATTCATGAGCTTATTTATTATTCATGAGCTTTCCCGGGCCCCCCCAATATTTTTTATAAGTCCGCGTCCCTGGTTTTGAGAATCCCGTGTATGAACATGAGGGGCTAAAAAGGCAGGTGCCAGCCACTGGGTGTTGCTAGCTAGCAGAGTTCATATTTTGTTTATATAGCAGAGTTCATATTTAGCTTGCCCTAAATATGATGCGGGTGGCGCTGTGGTGTAAACCACTGAGCCTTGGGCTTGCTGATTGGAAGGTCGGTGGTTTGAATCCCCACAACAGGGTGAGCTCCCATTGTTCGGTCCCAGCTCCTGCCTACCTAGCAGTTCGAAAGCACATCAAAAAGTGCAAGTAAATAAATAGGTACCACCCCAGTGGGAAGGTAAACGGTGTTTCTGTGAGCTGCTCTGGTTTCGCCAGAAGCGGCTTAGTCATGCTAGCCAGATGACCTGGAAAAACTGTCTGCGGACAAACGCTGGCTCCCTCAGCCTGTAAAGCGAGATGAGCGCCGCAACCCCAGAGTCATCCGCAACTGGACTTAACTGTCAGGGGTCCTTTACATTTTTTATCAGTAAGATATGTTGGAAGGAATGAAGTACAGTGGTGCCTCGCAAGACGAAAATAATCCGTTCCGCAAGTCTCTTCGTCTAGCGGTTTTTTCGTCTTGCGAAGCAACCCTATTAGCGGCTTAGCGCTATTAGCGGTTTAGCGGCTTAGCGGCTATTAAAGGCTTAGCAGCTTAGCGGCTAAAAGGCTATTAGCGGCTTAGCGGCTTAGAAAGGGGGGGGGAGCGAAAAAAAATCACAAGACTTGCAAGACGTTTTCGTCTTGTGAAGCAAGCCCATAGGGAAAATCATCTTGCGAAGCAGCTCAAAAACGGAAAACCCTTTTGTCTAGCGGGTTTTCCGTCTTACGAGGCATTCGTCTTGCGGGGCACCACTGTATGTGATAACATATCTGGTTAAAAATCAAGCTTTATTCTATAACTCTTTCCCCCACTTAAAACCTTATTTCCAGAAACTTAATTAAATGCTTGCAAAGGAAACCGAGACTCCAGCCTCCTTTGGGCATTTGCTTGAACATGTGACAGTTAAAATTGTGTAGAGGATGTAGTCATGCCTGCAAGCCCCACCCTGTGTCCCCAGCCCTGCATGTGGATTCCTTTCCAACCTTTGTACATTCAGCACAGATGCCCATGTGGGATTTGGCTGATCATGCTTAGAAGCCTCTGCCCAGTGAAGAGAGTAATAAGGCAGGGTTCCTTATTGTGACAAGGTTCCTATGCATGTTCAGCCAAACACACAAAGGTCTTGGAGAAGCCAAGTGATCAAGACTTGATTATTGTTATGTGCTCTACTTGAGGTTACTCTTGGGCCTAGTCCAGAGGCTCTAGCTGGTGCAAAATGCTGCAGCTAAATTGTCAATGGGGACAAACTATCACAAGCACATAATTTCAGTGCTCAGAAGTCTGCATTGGTTGCTCATACACTACCAGACGAAAGTTCTTTTATTAATTTACAAGGCCTTTAACAATCGGAGCCCAGGGTACCTCAAGAATTGCCTAATTTCTTTTGTCCCTGCCTGATCATTGTGGAGTCATGGCTCAGATGCCCAGCTCATATCCACCAGAAGCTATATTGTCTAGTATTGTATGTAGGGCCAGTTTCATGGAACTCCCTTGCAGATGAGGTTGGAGAGGCCCTGTCTATTTTGTTGTTCCAGCAGCCATTTAAATTGAAGTTTAATTTTAACTGGTTTTTATTTTCTGTGTTGTTGCATTCTTTGCAAACGACTCTTGTAGCTAAGCGGCATATAAATTGTTTAAATGACGTAAGTGTGGGGCAGAGGGGCCTTTTCTTTTGCCTTTTGGAGGGTTACAGGGGTTAAACAGCAGCACTTGAATCGCATGCTCTTGGCAGTGGCAAACATAATACCCCAGGCAGCCACAGTAAGGTGGGGTTCGTGAGATCCCCCAACCTTTCAAAGCAAAGTTGTCCCTCTGAGCCTTGTTTAACTTCAAACATTTTCACTGTGTTACACTGACAGATGCTCAAAATACCCATGACTGACATTCCATTTTGAATGTTGGCATGGCATTTTAGCATTCTCAGCAGTTCTTGGGCAGCTGAAAGAGAGATAAATGTTGGCTGTGAGGAAGGGTGCAAATGGAAAAAGCCAGAGGGGTGTGCTGGTTGCCAGGTTCTTTGCAGCCTTGTTCTGTGAACCATGCGGCACCGTGGCTCAGTCACACTTTCATCTGTTTCTTGGCTGGATAGGAGGTGTTGCTTCTGCAGCTGCTATCCAGGCAGGGTGCACTGAATGACATGCCAAGAAATAAATCCCTGGCAACAGCATTCAATCGGCACGGAGAATAAGCCTCCTTAAAAGAGAGCTAGATGATGAATGACTCTTCCCAACACATGCACACACGCTTTTAACAAATGCCCTACGTGTTAATTTGAAGGGATGTTCAGAAAATGGAAAAGAGACTGGCTGCTTAATAAAGAAATCAATGCGCTAGGGAAGTGCTCTAAATATGCATTCGTGCAAATGATCAGAGAAGCACCATCTATGCAAACAAAACTGAATTTGATCCAAGGCGGTACAGCCAGAAAAACTCGCCGTTCTTTTCGTAAATACCATTACTGTTGAGGGTGGTGGTCATTTTTTCCTAAGTAGCCTCAAGACATTCTTGTCACATGAGATTCAAGTTTTAAAATCCGAGCAAACAGAGCCAATCTCCCTTCATTTTAGCAATTCGCTCTGTACTGTAGGTATCATTGCCTCCTAATTCACCCTCTTCCTCTCATTCCTTCCCTGTCTTCTGCAGTTTATCTCAGTTCAGTGAAGACAACATGATGGACCCCTACAATTTAGCCATCTGCTTCGGGCCCACGCTGATGTCAGTGCCTGAAGGCCACGATCAGGTCTCCTGCCAAGCCCATGTCAATGAGCTCATCAAAACTATAATCATACAACACGAGAATGTCTTCCCAGGACCAAGAGAGCTGGAGGGCCCTATATACACCAGGGGTGGAAGCACTGAGGATTACTGGTACGGTAGGAGATAATGGGTAACAAGTGAAGGGGGTATATAGCGCTAGATTGTAGTCTGACTAGTAAATTGCATATTTCGACAATGCTATCATTTCCCCGTTTCAAATGCTGGCCCAGAATTTATCCCAGTTGTGAGTCACATAACTGAGCAGAGGCAAAACTGGTGAGGTTCACAGTCCTGAGCGCAACAGATTTTCCCCACCCTAAACCTGCAGGCCTCGAAGATTCAGAAAGCATGTTGCATGACTGCACTTCATTATACCAAAGGATAATGCCCATGAAACTGTCCATAAGGGTGTTATGGTAATTACCGTAATCTGCTGGCGAAAGCTGCAGAGCAGACACATAGCCTGAATTCATCGCTGACATTCTTCTCATTTTTCCACATGTCTTGAGCGACTTTACTTCAGAGACAAGGTCAGTAGCAGCTGAACTTAGAAAGCTGCAGCATGGGTTAATTTCAGGGCAGCAGCAACAAGTGGGGGAAACTTGAAGCCTTCCTTTCTCTCCTGCCCAGAGCACAGGGGGCCTGGCTGCACATTTAGTCTGAAACCGACATCTGCAAACAATTCAGCCAGAGCTGCTCCTGTCATGAGATTGGTGGCAGGGAGGGGGGGGGAGTTGTAGTGGTGGAGCAGCTTGCCCCACTATTTTACCTGAAAAGAAGAATGTGAAAATAACCCGCTTGGTTGCATCTTCGTCAGAACAACCCCTTTCCTCTCAGCTACTATGCACAGTGCAGACACTGAACCCCAGGCTGCAAGGCCACACAGCACATTCTCGTACTGTAGTCATACTTCCAAAAAGTGGAGCCTTTCTTTGCTTTCGTTTGCTACTGATCTTAGTTTTATTTTGTTTAGTTAAGCCCCTTTTGCTGTTTAATCTTGGTCGCAAAATGGCCGCAATACTATATGAAAATAAGTGCCTCCATTAGTGCCTTTATTTAGAGTTTTCAAGATACCACACAGTGGTATTTGCAGCTGGGAAAGGGGTATAGAAACTAGTTTACTGGTATTTCAGCAGCTGGTGTATAAAAGAGCATCAAAAATTATGGAAAATGTTTGAAGAAATCAAACTTGCCGACTTTGGACAATGGGCTCTGAAGTGCCCAGCAGACCTTGGTGATGATAAAAAAAAATTACTTGTGTTAAAAGACTTTGAGAAATTATTCAACCTACAGTCATGGACAGTTGAAGATCCTTCTTGTACTGGAATGAAAGAATTTGCCAAGAAATCCTAAATGTTGTATCATGAATTTTATGGTTGTAACCTTCTTTCTGGACAGATATTATCTGTATCAATATTTCTATTTTATTTTTATGAAAATAAAAATTGTTATATAAAATAAATAATGATGGAAATATAATATGATAATAGTATAATATACCTAACATTATGCACTTTGTATGGCTTGCAAACAAACTCCGTATGAAAGGCTGCTTCAGAAGCCATCTGGTTCCATTATTCTCCATGGATTAGGCCAGGTTTATGCCTTTCACTTAAGATTTTCACATTTCAGTCCTGAAGCAATTTGCAGTGGCTATGTCTCATTGCACCCTCTCCCCGCCCCCCTTGTCACAATATGATTGCTGTCCCAAACCCATAAACAGTACAAGGTGGGACGTGGGGCAATGAACAGTATTTTAAGGAGAGTTTTGAACTTCCTGGATCAGAGAAGATAACAGATTCAAATAATGCAGGGAGCTCTCAATTTGAGTGTTTTCATCTTGTGGTAAAGAGAGTAAGGGACAGAGTATACAAGCCTGAGGTTTCCTTCTAATCTTTCTGTGCTCTCTCTCTCTCTCTCTCTGTGTGTGTTTGTGTGTGTGTGTGAAAAATGGTGGCAGAGCAAAGTATTGCCCGAAGAGGACCTCAGATGTGTAGCCTGCTGAACTAAAAAAATAGTGACCTTGCTATCTTGCCCACTTTTCTTTTTTTCTTTTTCTTTTTAAAAGATTTGTAGTAGTTTTAAGCATGACATCAACAGAACAATTGGTTTTTCCACATTCCCACCCTCCTCCCCCTTAACAGAAGACTAATGCATCGTCAGTGGGCGCCAATCATCAGGATGTTTATTTGAGTGTTTTAGAAAAATGCATTATTCAGGACATGTGCCCTCTTAGTATCTCAGATAAAGCAATTGTTCATACATTCTGTTTCCATTGTGTAACATGTATCTTGCTCAGTTTTTGGTTGCTGGGCAGATGCTCCTCATCCTTCTCAGTATGAATGTGAAGAGTACCTTATACATTGCAGGTGTTCTGGGGTTTTCTTTCTTTCTTTTTTTGTTACTACATCTATTTGTCTCAAATCTATTTGTCTTAAATGGACTTGGAGTGCCCATTTAATTTTCTACCATGAACTTACTTTCCATTCACTTCGGATGTCCATGTGCACCACAACCCTTGTGCATGGTTCAACATTTTGGGGACAAACTGTAGTGAGAAGTTTTGATTTTGTGAAACATTGGGAAACAAATTGGCCTGCACACACCACAAGACCATTTATCCAACACAAGGTAATAGGAATCATCGTGTTTCTAGAAAAAGGACTAGATCATGTGAGTTCACCAGACATTTCTTCCCTTGAAGGCAAAGGAGTTCAGTTCATCATCTTATGTGCAGAGTAATTAAGCTAGGAGAAATACAACCTTTGCTTCATAAGTATCATAGAATTAAGTCATACTGTGTGGAGGGCTCTGAACCTCAGAGGTTTCTACCGTACATGGCATAGGGGTCCCCTAGCGGCTAAGCTAGTTCTCTCAACACATTGTAACAGTATTTCTCGTCTTAAATTCTTCTAGTGTTCTGCCTCATTGCAGTACAGTACATAAATGGCCACGTAAGAGTTAGAAAAACAGTATCTCTTCAACCAAGGAAATTAATTCTGAATGAGGATTGAGCTTGTGGGTGGGGGCAGGAATGCCATGGGATCATATCGTTGCACTGTACATCAGTACATTTTTATAATAAGCTTCATTATCTCAAAATCTGAAATGTTCGCCATTGCCTTTAAATGTCTTACTTAACATGCTTTGATAAATATAGGAGGACTGCCTGTCCTAAGATGCAGATTCTGGATGCAGCTCAAAAGCTGGGGTTTCATATAGATTAACTGTAATGAGATGTTCCATTTTGTTCAACATGCATATGCATACACACACTTTTATTAAAAATGGCGGTCAGTTAATTCCTAAAAAAGATGATGCAAAGCAATACACTGTGAAGAAATTTGAGGATTTTAGAGAGACCAAAAATCAGTCTACAACTGTACACAAACAAGTAATTTTTATTTTATTTTATTTTATTATTATTTATACCCCACCCATCTGGCTGGGTTTCCCCAGCCACCCAGTTGATATTGGTACAATCATAATAGGGCAAAATCGTGCCTTTTGATTTATACTGAAGTCTCTGTAAATGTCTGAATTGTCTTATCTATTTCCCCCTTCTGATCTAGTAAGCTACAAAGCTAAATATAGTCTGCTGCAGGTGTCATGCTCACTCACAGAAGAATCCTGTGCCCACTAAGGTCCCCTTTCTCTCCCAGTTATTTTTAATGGATTTTTGGGTGTGGGTGGTTATTCAGTTCAAAGTGTACATTTGGGGGGCTGGGAGGGGCGGTTGCTTGCTTTTTTGTCTACTTTATTGGGGGGGAGGCCCCTGTTTGGGGGTGGGTTCTGAACATCACCAGTTTTAATTCTGTGAATTGGTTATTTTGTGGCATCCACAACAGCTTCTTACATTTCCAGATCTACCCCAAAATGAGGGGTGGGGTGACATAATAAATCCTATCTTTCCTTCCAGATGTACTGTATGGGTACTTAGCATGTCTACTTACTGAAGTGGGGGTGGGGAGAGAATGGGAGGCCAGTGGAGGCTGATCCATTAGGGTAAATGGGGCACTGTCCCACCAACTTCAGTCTGTGTTCAGCCAAATCCACCTCCCCCAGGAGATGGCCCTGGTCAATGGTTTCTTCCTCCTTAGTCTCAATTTGCCTTTGTAGAACTAAGCAGG